GAGGGGCAAGCGCGGCGATTCACGCGCCGACACGTGCGAAGAGCCATCCATCAGACGGGGAATTCGGCCCCCGGCCCGGATAAGATCCCCTACAGGGTGCGGCATGCCTTGGGCGATTTGGCCACAGACACCTTGTGCGACGTCGCGTAGGAGCTCCAGTTCGACAACACCGACGCGCTGCTGGCTTTGGCTTATTCCGCCCAGGATGGCGGCGTCGGACACGACTTCAACCTTGGTGCCCTTTGTTGCCTCCCCAAAAAAGCGTCGGGCCTGCATGACCTCTTCGGCGAATTCTTCGGGCCGGGGGGCGCGCGCCCCTTGGCCGTGGTCAACGCGGACAACCGCCTCGTGGCGAGTGCGATGAAGCTCGCGTGGGAGCCCATATTCAACGACTGGGTCTGCGTAGCGCAGCGCGGCTTCCTCGCGGGCAGGTCCATGCTCATGGACATCATCGACATCGACGAAGCCGCCATGACGGTCAGCCTGCGGGAAGAATGGGGGGGGGCCTTGTATTGTTCGATTTTAAGGCCGCCTTCCCGAGCCTCTCCCACGACTACATGTTCGCGGTGCTGGAACACATCGGGCTCCCTCCTGGCTCCCTTCAACGCCTTCAAGGCTTTCTGCAGCCGCGTCGAGCGCACCCTGCAGTCTAAGGGGCCCACCGACGAGGCATTCGACGTCGCGGCGGGCATCCGCCAGGGCTGCCCCTTGTCTCCCTTGCTGTTTGCGGTTGCGGTGGATATCCTACTCCGGCGGCTGGAACGCAAGGTCCCCGACTTGGCGGCCAGAGCATTTGCAGATGATATCGGAGCTGTCTCCCAGAACTGGCTGCGAGACGCGGGAGTCGCCCACCATATCTTCGCAGAGTTCGGACGCATATCCGGCCTCGACCTGGATCTTCCCAAGACGCTGGTCACCCCCCTCTGGGGCGAGGAGCTGGACATCGCCAAGGCTCGGATCCTCGCGGCCTGCTCGATTGGGCCCCGGTCTCTTTCGGCTATCACGGCGTCTACCTGGGCTTCGCCGTGGGCCCGCGCAAGGGCGACTCTTCCTGGGGCAAGACGCTTAAGAAGTACGCCGAAAGGGCGACGACCTGGGCGAATGTTCACCAGGGGCTGCACATCGGCATCTTCGCGTGCAACGTGTATGCGGTCTCTGTTCTTTCCTTCCTCGCCCAGCTGGAGAATCCCCCCCCGCGGGTGCGCGCGCTCGAAACGGCGACGCTCCGCAAGGTCGCCCCCGGCCCTGGCAACTGGGTTTCTAAGGAGGACCTGTGGTGGGCAGGCCAAATCGTGCGTTTCGATTGAACTTGGCCCAGGCGGCCCAGCTCCGAGTTGCTCATCATGAATCGTGGACTGCTTCGGGGGGCTCCGTGGGCACCCGGGCTAGGCGAATGGAAGGGCTGATCGGGGCGCCCTCCTCCCTGCAGAGGCGATTCCGTTGGAATGACTGGTCCTCGAGGTCGCGCGTTGTTCTGCTTTACCGGAACCGGCTCTCCATGAGTGCCAGGGGCATCACATTCGACACCATCGCGTCCAACATCAAGCTCGCATCCCCAAGCGTAGAAGACCGGCCAAAGATGGAGCGAAAAGGTACGCAATGGCTTCCAGCGTGAGGCCTACGAGCTTCTTAAGGCGAAGAGCCAACCTGATTTCGTCGGGCGGATCCGCCACAAGACGGCCATGTGGCATCTTTCGGGCCCGCCGGCACGCTCGGCCGCCCGTGTGGTGCGCCATTTTCAACGCCTTCCTGCCTTGGTTGCACCTCGTGTTCAAGCCGCATGTTTGTCAATGTTGTGGAACAGATGGTGCACGCCACGTCGTTTCCAGAATCGGGCCTCCCCCACGAACCGGTGTTTGCTGGGCTGCCCAGGCCATGCGGAGGATTCGATCGAGCACTACATATTTTGCAAGTGCATGCGACGGGTCCCCGATAATTTCCTCAACATGCGCCGCACCACGCCCTTCACAGTTGACCATTTTATGCTGGCGCACCAGGTGTTCTTGGAGGGCGCGGAGGCCTTGACTTGCATGGCAGTCCTCCTGTACGCCGTGTATAATACGACCAACCAATACAGACCGCTTGGCGGAGCATCGGAGAACACAGCGTTCGAGGCCATCAAGCAGCAGTGTCGCAACGCCGTGGCGGGGCACAGCGCCAGCATGAGGATTGTGGATTCGCTCTGGGCTGAGCGGCCCCGGATCCGCCCCCGCAGGTAGACTCCTATTTGTTTTCCTCTTCCCATTTCCCCTCGCTTCCTCCTTCTGGTTCGTCTGTTGTGCTCCAGCGTGGTACGGCGACCGCAGCCTTGCCTACCCTCTGCGGGGTAGGGCCCGCTGTGCCTCCATGCCAGCTTCCTTCGATGTGTCCTAGTTGCCCCGTCTCCCGCAATAGGTGAGGAAGACAGCGGCTTTCGAATGCAACCGTCTTGTCGCTCGTTTTTTCTCCTCCTCCTCCTTCTCCTTCTCCTCTCTCCAGCGTGCTCCAGATTCGCTCCGCCGGAGCGCGTTCCAGCGTGCTCCGGAAACGCCCCGCCGGAACACGTCAGTTTCGGTGCCCTTTTCTAGTCGGCTCGCATGAAAACACTGTCTGTCAGAGTTTGTTTTCGGGAAATTTCGCACGGAATGGGCCGACAGGAAGTGCGGAGTTCAAGTAGCGGAGAGTTTTGGCTGGCATACTAACATCCGATTTGCTGATGACGTTCTATTGTTTGCAACCTCACTCAGACAGTTAAAAGCCATGATCCGTGATGTGATGGATGCTGCGCAGCCAACCGGTCTGGATATCCATGCTGGGACGACCAAGATATTGCACAATGTGGAACATCGACGGCCTCGCGGCCACCCTGAGCACACAACTGCCAATGGGAAAACTATTGAAATACTACCGTTCGCCGGTGCGCACAAGTACCCGGGGCGCAACATTACTTGTTGCAATCCTGCTGCGACAGAGATTGAATCCCGAATCAGAGCTGCATGGAATGAGTTCGGCCTCTTCAAGCAGGAGCTTACTGCGTGTTTGTATTCATTGAAGGACCGTTTGCGGCTATTTCACGGCACCGTTTCTGCAACGCTATTTTATGGTGCTGGGTCTTGGACAATGACGGTTCCGCTGGAGTCACGGCTGCGGTCCACGCAGTGCCACATGCTTAGGCTGATCCTTGGATAACCACGGCGACAAGCCCCGGGCATTAGCGCAGAAGCGGCTCTAGAGTGCCGGACCGACGGCACAACCGCGGTTTCGAACAGCGATCCGGGTCGAAGCAACAGCGGCGCGTCCAGCAGCAGCAACAGCAGCAGCAACGACACCGACTCCGCGGAAAACCGCACCACGTGGTCATCGGGCCCGAGCTCTTCAAAACAAAAATTGGAACCTTGGCACGACTGGATTCGTCGCACGACCAAACATGTTGAAACATATTGCGTCGAACTTGGGTACGAAGACTGTTGCACGCCACGAAAACGGTTGCAATGGAGGTATATACCTATCGTGGTGCACGACGACATAAACAAGTGGAGCCGAAAAGGTTTTGATGTGGGACCCACTATCTACACATATCCATGCGAAGCGCTTGCCACACCGACCGCACAAACGGTGGATTGAGGATATTTCTGTTTTTGTTCGTACGACGTGCGCAAAGGAGTGGGGATCAGTGGTATCAGATGTTGACATATGGGCAAATACGGAAGATTCGTACGCGTCCCGCGAAACACGCCCAACACCGACACAACCACAGGGCATGGAATAGTTTGGCCAGGGTATGATATGCGACGTTCATCTTCCGACTCCGGCTCCCAACTTTCCGACTCCGGCTCCCATCTTCCGACTCAGGCTCCAAATGTCCGACTCCATTTCCCATCATCCGACTCCGGCCTCCGACGTTCCGACTCCAGCGCTTGTCTCTCCGACTCTGGCTCCCAATTTCCAACTCCGGCTCCCAATTTTCCGACTCCAGTTGGCATTTTCTTTCGTTTCCGGCTCCCGACTCTCCGACTCCAGCGCCTGTTTTTTCGAGTCCGGCTCTCGTGCTCCCATCTTCCGATTCCGGCCCCCAAATTTCCGACTCCAGATCCCATTTTCCGTGTCCGGCTTCCGACGTTCCGATTCCGGCGCGTGTCTCTCCGACTCCGGCTCCCATTTTTCCGACTCCAGTTCTCTCCGACCCCAGCCCCAATTGTCAGACATCCGACTATGAGAGGTTCGAGTGATGCCGGCGCCCCGGCGCCACCGCCTAGCCCCGCGTAGGGCCGTCCTCCCTGGGACGACACAGGCGCAGCCTCAGCCTCAGCCTTAGCCTCAGCCTCCTGTTGCTCTCTCTCGTGCTCCATCCTCCTCCGCCTTGTCCCTTCCTTCGATCCGTCCTCTTGTCCCCTGCCTTGGGGGCTGCACGAAGTACACGTTGCAGGTGAGAATGATACATCCCCCAAAGGGGTACGATCGAAGACGAACAGGGCGGGTATCGAGGGTTTGGGATATTCGTGTTGATTGGCCCGCGAGCAGGTCAGAGCGATCAGTCTTAAACTTATTGTTGTTGTTGCTGCTGCTATTGTTGTTGTTGTTGATGGTGATGGTGATGGTGATGGTGGTGGTGCTTATGATGATGCTGATGTTCATGCTTATGCGGATGATGATGATGATGCTGATGCTGCTGATGATGATGATGATGCTGATGATGATGATGATGATGATGCTGATGCTGATGCTGATGCTGATGCTGATGCTGATGCTGATGCTGATGCTGGTGCTGATGCTGATGCTGATGCTGATGGTGATGATGCTGATTATGATGATGATGATGATGATGATGATGCTGATGATGATGATGATGATGATGATGATGATGATGATGATGATGATGATGATGATGATGATGATGATGATGATTCGATGACTGTGTTGCTATTGCTGATGGTGGTGGTCATGATGATGACGATGAGGAGGCGGAGGAGGAGGAGGAGCAGGAGAAGGAGGATGAAGAGGAGGTGGCTCTTGGCGGACAGGCGACGAGCCATCCTGGCAGCTGCTCGCGGGTGGCGGAGGGCGGCTCTCGATGGCGGCTGCGGCGGAGCGCCTGCTGGTTGAGTTGCTGGACAGGCGGGGTCCCAGACCCGACAAGGGCGGGGAGGGGGTGGGGAGGGGATTCTTTAAGTCTTCATCGGGAGAGGGGTGAGGGGTCAGGGCATGCTTCTAGTTTCGTTTTGGGAGGGAGGAGTGGGGAGGCGGGGATGCTTCTGACTCTTATCGTCGAGAGGTCAAGGGGAGGGGATTGTTTTGGCTTTTGTCGGGTGAGGGAGGATCGGGAGGGGACGTTTCTTGCATTGCCAGGAAGCTTGGTACACATTAGGACATTCCAGACATGGCCTCGCCTTCGGCACATCTCGGGTTCGGCGGAAGCTAGTGGAAGGCCGGCGGAAGGCCAGCGGAAGTAGAACGGCGGAGGTTCCGCTGGCGGGAGCCAGCGGAAGGTCGGCGGAGGGCGGCAGAAGCAAGGTGAGACGTCAACATGTTTTGGATTCTGGGTTTTTGAAGTCGGCCGCGTGGCACGCGTCTGGCCTGGGCGAGAGCCGGATATATACATGTTGCCACACGTCTTTCCAGCGGTCGACCCCCGTATGGCAAGTCCGCTGGCCCTCCGCACGTGTATCCAGCGCAATGCGCCCTGCTCTTTTCTACCTGCCTTCGCGTGCCTGTAGCGTGGCGCGCCCCGCTGGCTTCCGAACGCGGTAGCAACCGCCTGCGCTGCGGACCAAAAAGTATCCAGTTATTGGCCTCCAGATGTTTCTAGCTTTTATCGGGGAGCATCGGCTGATCATCTCACCGATCCTGGCCGGGCCAATCCTGGTCCCCGCGTCACTTTCTGTGCCTGCCTGGCCGAGCCATGTATTCACCGAGCCCGAGCCCAGGATGGGCCAGCGGGTGTCCCCCGATGTACGAAGTGCCGCGGGGCAGGGTCATGCAGTCCGAGGAGATCTCGAGCGCGAGCGATTGCCCAGTGTGAAAGCGAGCTGCCCTCCATCCGTGTGGCCGTTGCATCGGCGTCCCCCCAACATTTTCACACTATGTGTGCGTCCCCCCCCCAGGGGCGACGCGCGCACCGAGAAATCTTCTAGTATATGCGTCGTGGTGGGCGCTTTCTGGCCACACCGCTCGGGAAACGATATACTACAAGATGGGTATCCTGTATGTTCGGGTCGGACGCACGCCTCCGAGGAGGACACATAGTACTAGTATTTCTTGTGCGTGCACACTTATGCTGACGTGAAAAGACGCCACGCGGTACTGCAAAGAACGCCACCTGCAGGATGATCCAAGGGCCCTCTGAGCTGTGAGTATGACATCTGTTTACAGAGCGGTTTTCTTAGGAAAAAGCTCAAGGGGGGAAATTCTGTACAAAACAATCGTTTTGTACAGAATTTTCCCCCCGCCTGTTTTTCCAGCGCTGTTTGCGCGTCCTCTCGCACCACTCTAATGAACGCAATGGCATTTCAATGTAACAGCTTAGAAGTAGCTTGCATCACTTGTTTCTGCAGTCTGTACGCTTTCCTCCTCCGTACTCGTTAGGGCTCGAACTTTTCTGGGGAGAGTTGGGGTCCGTGCATGGCCGCTCCTGGGCACCACCGGCAGCTGGCGCTGGTGGCTGCGCCCGGCTGGGCGGCCCTGGGCTGGCACTTCCTCGAGCAGGTGTTGCCCGGCGCGGGATCAGCGGCTGCTGCGTGGGCCGCGGGCGGGCTGAACTGCCCTGCGTGCAATATCACCTGCCCGGCTTGCCCTGCGTGCGAGCCGGCCCCTTGCTCGTGCCCGGCCTGTCCGGCGTGCGGGCCAGCGCCGCCCTGTGCGGCGTGCCCGGGGTGCGAGAAGCCCCCGCCGTGCCCGCCTTGCCCGGGGTGCCCAGAGGCGCCCCCTGCGTGGGCCTTCGGGCCCTCTCGGCACGGTGGTCCTCCACCTTGCCGTCCGCTTCAACGAGTGCCTGCGGGACGGGTGCCGTCGCCGCGGGCGGGGGCGCGCCGAGGCGGTGGCCGGCGCGCGCGAGCAGGCCGAGGTGGTCGCCAGGGCCCGTGAGCAGGCCGAGAGGGCCCGGCAGCGGGCCGCGCTCCAGTTCAGGTCGGCGCCCGACGCGGGTCCCGCATCGACCCACTCGCTGGAGTGATGGCGGCGCCTGGAGACTACATCTTGCTGCTCTACAACGAGCCTGGGCAGCCCCTTTATCATGAGGCTTTGGTGACAGGAGTCTCGGTTGCGACGCCGACGACGATCACGATGGCGACGCCAGACGGGGACCACTACCCCCAGAGCATCGAGATCGGCGACGACGTGCTCGAGGTGAGATGGATCGGCATGCAGGGGGCGACCCCGCCAGGAGTCGATGCTCGCCACGTGTATCGGTTCCGGCAGGTGCCATCGGCACAGGTGCTGCGGCAGTACTACAGGGACGCGGCGCTGATGCTCGGCAACATCGCGCCGCCGCCGGCTTTGCAGCAGAGGCAGAGGCCAGCCCCAGGTGCGGAGTTGGCGGCGGCTCCCCGAGCCGTCCCCGCGGGAGCGGCGGCGGCGGCAGCGCCGCCAGGCCGCCTCTGGGTGTACGCCGAGGATTGCGAGGGCCATCGGCGAGGCGATGCAGTCGGGGCGCTGCCAGCCGACGCGGTGACGATGGGAGACCACGGGCTCGTGCAGCTCCAGGAGGGGACCGCCTTCATACAGATGGTCGAGCGGCGCAATCTGGAGCAGTATGTCATGGAGGACCTCCGCGTGCTGCCAGTGAAGTTCGACGGCACTGGTCAACGTCGCCGCCCCTTCGCCGAGTCCGTCCAGAAGATGGCGGGAGAGGAGCCGGAGGGGGGGCTCGATTTGACCGGGCCGAGGATGTGCTTCAACCGTTTGCAGCAGCTCGCCGTGTCCAGCCAGACGCCGATCACGCAGAGCGAGCACTGGCGGCACGCGGCTCGGATTCCGGACGGGGACCGCAGCCCGTACGAGCACGAGGCGCTCTCCCACATCATGGAGGCGATGTGCACGGTCGACCAGTTGAACGCGCCGGCGTTGAAGTCGGCGGAGCTGATCAGCCGGCGTCTCCAGCTGATCGAGGACGCGCACGCCTCTGGCGGCATCGCTGATTACAGCGCGGCGGACCACTACATGGGCTGGTCGACCAGGCGGTCCGGGGCCGTTCCGGACCCAGGTCTGCGGAGCCACGTGGCCGAGCAGATTCGCGGGGAGGCAGCCGTGGCCAAGGAGATGAGGAAGGCCAAGGAGGAGCAGCGCCTGCGCAAGCAGAACCCAAACAGGAAGAAGAACGACGACAACGGAAATGGCTAAGTCTATGGCTGGCCTCGGGGGCGGGAGAGCGCCGGCCCGTCCCGACAAGCAGGCGCTGCATCAGAATTCATTCCCGAGTCATGTGGGGGCTCGTCACGATGGGCGACGACATCGGCCTCGGGAACTTTTTCCCCTTCCACCTGTGCCAGCGGAGCCAGCTATCCGCCCGGGCACGCCTGGTTACCTTCGTCGGCGACTACTGCGACGTGCGGGAGTCCAGGAGAGGGCAAATGAAGTCCTCGAAGTTTTGAATGAGATGGCCGGCGCGGCTCCTGGGGCTTCGGCCACGGCCAGTCCGAGTCTCGCCCAGCTTACGTCTCAGAGCTCCGTCCTCCGGAGGGTGGGGCAGCTGCCATACAACGAATCCTTGTACACCAGGCACGGGGCCTTCAATGAGCTCATGCCCACTGTGATCGACTACGCGGGAGTCGATCAAGCCACTGCCGTCAGACCTTACCAACGCTCTCTGGTATCCATACGCGTAGCTGGTGCGTCCCCAGTGCCGCTCAGTGCCGCGTGCGGGAGGCCGGAGAGGACTTCGTTGGAGCGGTCGGATGAATTCATGCTGTCAGACCCAGATGACGTTGGATGGCAGATGGAGTCAGGTACGCCTCAACAGCTCTACATGGACGAGGTGCTGCGCAAAGATCGGTCAGCTTACGTTGGCTTCATCGCAGACGTCCTGGGCGCTGAGCTGGTGGACTTCTCTGTCACCCCAAAGGAGATATGCACACCGTTCTTCGTCGAGAAGAAGAACAAGAATCTTCGGCTCATCCTGGATTGCAGGTGGTCGAACTTGCACTTCCGCCCAGCGCCCAGCCTCGATATGGGGACGGGCGCGGCCTGGGCCCGCGTCGAGCGGCCCGCTGGCGACCATGACCTATACTTCGCCGGGGCCGACGTCGAGGATTATTTCCACAGCCTCGAGAACTCCGCCGAGCTCAAGGATTACTTCTGCTACCCCTCCCTGACCTTGGAGGAGTTTGAGAGGGGCTTCGTAGATTGGCCTGGGGCCGAGGAGCTGCTGTCAATGGCGCGCCGCTCCGGCCTTCGGGAAGTGTGGCCGAGGGCTGTCACCGTCCCAATGGGATGGTCCTGGGCGTTCTTCCTGGGGCAGAAGGCTGTGGAGAACCAGATTTCAGTGGCCGTCCAGGGGCGGCCCCACGGGCAGCTCCGCGACGCCGGGCCACTCCCTGACATCCTGGGCGGGGTGGGCGTTTTGCCGTACTGCGACAACCTCAACGTGTACGGCGTGAGTCGCGAGGAGGTGCAGCAGGCCAAGAATTTGGTAGTGGGCCAGCTTCGCCGCGTCGGCTTCAGGGTTCGCGAGGAGACCGACGCTTCGACCGACCGCGAGAGCCTGGGCCGGAAGCTGGACGGCGCCCGCTGGCTGGTCATGAACAAGCCGGAGCGGGCGGCTCGCCTGCAGCGGGCGTGCCGGCATTTAGAAGGCTGCCGTCGAGTGACTGGTCACATGGTCAGGCGGTGGCTCGGCCATGTCGTGGATCACTTCCTCATCATGCGGGAAGGTTTGTCGTGCCTCAGGAGCTGCTGCGACTTCGTGGAGAAGGTCGGCGGGCAGTGGGCCGAGCCTTGGGCCTCTGTCAGGAAGGAGGCGAGGTGGGTGAGGGTGCTCACTTACCTCTGCGCGGCCGAGCTGTCCCGCGAATGGCACCCTGAGGTCCTTTGCACTGACGCCTGCGAGAGCGGGATTGGCGTTGCTAGTCGCGTGATTCCAGTGCAGGAGGTCGCGAAGATCGGTTGCATATCAGAGCGTTGGAGATATCGGGGAAAGCATCCTCTCCATCAACCTCGTCGCAATGCCATGGGGCCACGGGGCCCCTTCAGGGACCTCGATACCGTGATCCCCATGGGCCCCGGGGGCGAGTTGGAGATGCTCGAGGGAAACAATAACTTCCAAGAGGTACTGGAAGGCATCACTGACCAATCCAAGCGGCACGTCATTTTGTCGACGAGGCTTCATCGGGAGGAGGGGATGCCGACGAAGGAGGGCCGGGCCACGCTGCTGGGGATGAGGTGCAAGCTTCGCCATGCAGGGGCTTTTGGAAAACGACATTTGCTTCTGGGGGACCAGCTGGGGAACGCTGTGGCTTTCGAGAGATCCAGGGCTCACAGCTATGCGATCCTCACTCTTGTTCGTCGAGCCTCCGCCTTCGCCATTGCCACTGGCTCCAGCTGGTACTTCCGGTGGGTGCCGTCCGAGAGGAACGCGGCAGATGCGCCGTCGCGGCGATGGGAGAGAACAGCGCCGGCTCCGGCCTGCCGAGGGCGCCGCGAGGGCCCCGCCTGGCGCCGGCCGCCGAAGCCGCCCGGCCTTGGCGCTGACGCAGCGCAGCCAGGGGGCGGGCCCCGCGGTCCACAGGGGCCTCCGCAGGGCGCAGCCGCCAGCGCGGCCGGCCAGCCAGGTGGCCACGAGGCGGGCTACCACGCTGCCCCGCGGAACGGCCCGCCCCCTGGTCTCGGGGGAGACCCGGGAGGAGCGACGCGAGAAGCGGGCGCGGGTATTGCCCCCGTTCCAACCGAGAGAGACCAGCGACCAGCTTTCCATGTTGGAGTCGCACGCTGTCACGGAGCGGACGCTGGCGCTCTACGAGAGCTGGTGGAAGGATCTCCAGGATTTCGTGCAGTCGATGGGGGCGTACACGCTGGACACCGTGCAGAATGCAGACTCTGCCATGGTGGACTTCGCGGACTTCTTGTTCATGGAGGGGTTCGAGGTCGCGGACATCTGGAAGGCGTACGCGGCGGTCGTGTGGCACCTTGTCGACCTCTCGCCATGGGGCCGGCTCCGGCTCCCAAGGTTCGCGCGGGCCATGAGGGGGCGCGCCATCTCGACCCCGGCGTGACGACCCCCCAGTGCCTTGGGAAGTGGTCTGCGGCCTGGCGCTGTACGTGTACGAGGCCTTGGGCAGCAGGATCGCGTGCCTCGCCTGGATCACGATGTTCACCGCCTACCTCCGGCCAGCAGACCTTCATGCGCTGCGGGGCGAGGATCTGGCGGCCCCTGCGGGGTCCAGCCAGTGGTGGGCCCTCAACCTGCACCCGGCTGGGCGCGGCGACGAGTCGAAGGTCGGCCTGAGCGACGAGAGCTTGCTGTTGGACGCGCCGTACCTCCCAGGCCTCGGCGCAGCGTTGGCCGCGCTGGCGAAGGACCGCGAGGGCGAGAAGCTTTTCGACATCTCGCCGGCGGAGCTGCTGAGGCTGTGGAACCTCGCCCTCGGCGGCATCGGGCTCCCCGCCAGGCAGAGGTACGTGCAGTACCAGCTGCGCCACGGCGGACCCAGCCATGACCGCCTGACGAAGACCCGAAGCGCGAAGGAGGTGTGGCGGAGGGGTCGCTGGGCGAGCGCCAAGTCTGTCAAGAGATACGAGGCCAGCGCCCGGGTGCAACAGGAGATGCAGAGGCTTCCAGCCGCCGTGCGCGCCTACGTCGGGCGGGCGGCTACTGCTTTGCCAGCGTTGGTTGAGTCTTGGGCTTCGAGGTCATTTACATCGACACCTGGGTCGAGGCGCTCTCGCAGACAGCGATGGGAGGTCTGTCGCCCCTTTTGCGGGCTTGGCGCCACAGCAGAATCGCCGCCGACCTGTGGCCAGCAACGCTGTCCAGTACACTACTGTTTGTGGGTATGGGACTCTGTGAGCTGGACGAATCCAGCTACCGGCCGCCGCGAAGCACGGCGGGCCGGGCCTCGGCATTCTCATCGCAGGCGAATCGGCTTTTCTTGCATCATCACAGAGCTCTGGCGGAAAAAGGGAAGGGAGCATTTCTTGTGCGTGCACACTTATGCTGACGTGAAAAGACGCCACGCGGTACTGCAAAGAACGCCACCTGCAGGATGATCCAAGGGCCCTCTGAGCTGTGAGTATGACATCTGTTTACAGAGCGGTTTTCTTAGGAAAAAGCTCAAGGGGGGAAATTCTGTACAAAACAATCGTTTTGTACAGAATTTCCCCCCCGCCTGTTTTTCCAGCGCTGTTTGCGCGTCCTCTCGCACCACTCTAATGAACGCAATGGCATTTCAATGTAACAGCTTAGAAGTAGCTTGCATCACTTGTTTCTGCAGTCTGTACGCTTTCCTCCTCCGTACTCGTTAGGGCTCGAACTTTTCTGGGCCCGCCCGCGGTCCACCCTGCTTGCTGCCTCCAGCGCTCCAACCAGCGCTGTCGTCAAATATTCTGGGACTCTGTGAGCTGGACGAATCCAGCTACCGGCCGCCGCGAAGCACGGCGGGCCGGGCCTCGGCATTCTCATCGCAGGCGAATCGGCTTTTCTTGCATCATCACAGAGCTCTGGCGGAAAAAGGGAAGGAAGCATGTCTATGTGCGTCCCCATTGCACAGTTCGTGCGTATCCAGCTGCCTGCGGAAGTCCCGCCACCGTGCCAGCCAGCAGCACCTTGGGGTGGCGACCTGCTCGGGGGGCGCACGGGGTGCCGTAACGTGTGACACCTCGCGTCCCGAGGCTCGGGAGAATCGTGACACGTGGCACTCTTCCGCGTCGCGTCGGGGGTTCTATTCTCGTCCTCGTCGTCTTCCTCGCTTTCGTCCGTCCTTTCCTGGACTCCTGTGGGTCAGTCTTGGGGTCCCTTGGGGCCCCCTGGGGCCGTCTGGGAGTTCTCTGGGGCCGTCCTGGGGCCTTCTTGGCCGTCTGATGGGCTCTTGCGCCCGTCGTGAGGCCATCTTGGGGCTGCCCAGAGGCGTTCTAACGCGGTCCTGGGTCCCTCCAGAGGCCCTCTGGAGCCATTGTTGGCCGTCTAGGGGCCCTCTTGGGATGTCTTGGGGCCGTCTTGGAGGACGTTTGGCCCATATCGGGGCCCTCTGGGGCCATCTTAGAGCCATCCTGGAGTCCACTAGGACCGTCTGGAGCTGAAGGAAGTCCGAAATGATTAAGCTGCTGAAGTCTTTGAAACAATTTGAGAAAGTCAATGGTTCTAGCCTCTTCGGGCTCTACTATGGGTCCTTGTGTGGTCCTCCTGTGCCGTCTTGGGGGCCTCTTGGGCCATCTTGAGGCATTCTTGGGCCGCCTTCGAGGTGGCGGCCTTCGTTGCCCGCCTCGGCCGTCTTGAAAGCTCGACAGCGCAGGCATTTTGTTTTAGAGAGGATCGTGGCCTACTTTGAAACGAGTTCAACGGAGAGGTTATGGGCGTCGCGGCTGCGTCCGCAGCCGTTCGCATCTCACGCGGTTAGCCACTAACCTGTGACTGTCCCGTCTACGGGGTGTATAGCATCTGAGTAATTTCAAACATCCTTCGATGATGCCTTCTGTCATATCATGCCTTATCGGTTGCCTATCTGTTCAAACCTGCGGTATGGATCTTTCATGGTGGAGTAGTCTCACACGCCTGAGGCGTAGTAGATGCTTCGCCTTACCATCTCATGTTTGACTTGGTAGCGGAGCTGGCCTCATTTTCAGATGGCTGGCTCTGGCTCTAGTGCCGGTATTCCACGGTGCAGAATGGTGGACTACTTTTATGGTGGTATCTCCTACTGCGCCTGCTTCCCTTCTGGGGTCAGAGCCAGGCCACGGCCATGCATGTGACATCACATCGACCGACCGCCACGTTGGTCTACGCGTGTATGCCACGGCTCCAAGCCACTATACTCCTGACTACCATCATCGCACCCGCTGCGCGGTGACAGTGGACTGGTTCACTTCAGGCATGCATCGTTCGAGGATCTGCCGTGGAGAAAGTATTCCCAACCACCACCAACCAATTGTCAACACGCTATCCAACTCCATCTCCCCGAGTGACAGCCCACCACGGCGCGGCCAGGCACAACGCTATAACGTGAATGCTACATCCATTCGGAGGCTGACGGCCACGTCGGCCTTGACCGCAAGGACCACGACACCACCGACACCAACTCAACGATGTACGACATCGAGGTCACCTTCTTCGGTCTCATACGGGTGTGTCTTGGTCTAGGCGTAGGGTGCATGCAGCGAGCAATGGGCGATGCACGCATCAAAAGACCTCACTGGGGCCCTGCTGGCAAGGTGCCTTTTCCGCGAATTCGTTCGCGAAGTTTACTTGTGACTCAACGTAATAAGTGGGGCCATGACTCCACCACAACCAGCCGCTGCATTGGAGCGCGGTCTCGGAGGCCTAGCTAGGACGGTGGCAACGAGAGTGCTGTCCTCGATCATCAACTACGGCGTACCGTTGCAAGCGTAGCGCACGGACGCAATTAGCTACATCATGTTCTTTCTCAGCACCAAAAATTGAAAATCGCGAGGACGAGCGCCAGTTGGCCACGGGAACAGCCCTCATCGACTCTTGGGTCGAACGAGGTGAACGTTTCGATTCGGTGCAAGCCAGATTCGGAATTGCCAGATTGGAACCATATTCAGTTGGATTCAACATTCCAAACTTCCAGACCTTGACGCTCCTGTTGTTTCGCGCCCCGGGGGTAGGTGCCACCCGAGCCTCGCAAGTGTTGGGGCCACTCAGCCACCAGGTGCCCAGTAGCCGACAGCAGAGATGCCAACTGTTGGAGCGAATGTGCAGCAGCGGACATTTAGCTGAGAGGGACCCTAGAAACATTGGCGGGATCTTCAGTGGTCGAGGCTCTGGCGCCGGTGCATTCCGCGCAGACGCGATCAACGTGCTGGCGGAAGCGCCGGGCAACCTGGGCTGATCAGGATCCAAATGAATCCACAACGCTTGTGGGCCGCGGTGCTGCTGCGGCCAGCGCCGCGCCACCAGCTGCAACCACCTTTTGGGGTTCGGCAGGCTAACGCCCCAACTCACCATTAGACTCAGGAGCCGACGCTGCCGCCGTCTCGTCGACGGGCGTTGCTGAAATCGATTGGTCAGGCCTACCTGCCGGCGACGACCAAGCAGCGCAATTCCTTCACCTCGGCTATCATCATGCTAAGCGCCGTTAGAGGCGACGCATGAACACAAAAACAAGCAAACGGTTAGACAGTGTCGTCGCAGTGCCACGGGCATGCCATCGAAATGGCAATGGGCGCGACGAGGGTGGTAGGCGGACGCGCAGATGCGCGGTCGGGGGATGGCCGCATTCCCAGCGCAACTTGCCCATCATCTCTCTGAGGCATTATTTCTCTGTGGAATGGGCGGGGTCGTGGGCGTACCGTTGGGAAGGGGAAGGGGCCAACGTTAAACCCGATGTATAGAAATGTGAGAGAATGACGTGCAATATCTGCGCTGGCACCAGTCACCTTCTAGGCGCATTGCACCAAGGGCATGGGAGGGGGAGGTGACTCCGTATTTGCTGGTGCAGAGCATTTCGGGGATGATCTCGAGTACTTAGAACTTCCAGATATGGATCTTCCTACGCTGCCATCTCGCACCGCGTAGTTTTCGATGGCGAGGTTCGCCGATGCCGCGCTGGCCATCGAGAGGTGCGCCGAGGGATTTTTCGAGAATTTCGAGGAGTCCACGCCATTCCAGAACTGGCTCGGCGTCCCCGTGCACGGATGCGAGCGCACCGACGCCCGCAGTGACATTGAGTTTGAGTCTGACAGCATGTCCGAAGCGGACGCGATCCCTGCCTCGGAGGAGGAGCTGACAGATGCGCCCGCGAAGATGATGGCCAAACTCGAGATCCGAAGCCGTCTCCCACCACCATGGGTATTGTCCTGGCGACCTGGCGACCATTGGGTGTCCAGTTTACTCCAGCCGAGTCTATTCAAGCCCACTCCAGTCCACCTCGCATCAGTCTTTTCATGTGCTTGGAGTTTGCGCTGGCTGCTATTCGAAACGTTTCCCTTGCGTCGCTGTAATTGCTGTCTACTTTTAGGGCGAATGTCAGCGACGTCGCGGCGAGGCGCGCATATCCGAACGACCCGCCCTCCATCTTTGCAGCTGGTGGAGAGTTGCAGCCCGCGCGCGCGCGGCGCTGAGGCGATGCATGCATGCGCGCGCGAGCGCGCGCACATCCACATTCACTTTCACACACGCACACATTCACACTCTCTCACACACACACACACACACGCGCTCAACACACGCACACACGCGCACAGACACACGCACGCGCACGCACGCGCACACGCACACGCGCGCGCGCACGCATACGCACACGCAAACGCACGCGCGCACGCACATGCACACGCACGCGCACACGCGCGCGCATGCACGCGCACACGCACGCGCGCACGCACGCGCACACGCACACGCACGCGCACTCACACGCGCACACACACACGCACGCATGTGCGCGCGCATGCACACGCACACGCGCACGCGCACGCACATGCACGCGCGCACGCATGCGCGCGCACACGCGCAAGCACACGCAAACGCGCGCGCACGCGCGCACGCGCACGCGCGCGCACGCGCACGCGCACACGCGCGCGCGCACGCGCACGCACGCGCACGCGCACACGCACGCGCACACGCACGCGCACACGCACACGCAAACGCAAACGCACGCACACGCACACGCACACGCGCACACGCGCGCACACGCGCGCACACACGCACGCGCACACGC